TATAACTATACCAAGTAAAACAATACAAGCAAAATGATTAATGGTATCTCCAGATTCCAAAATACGAGATTAGTATCTAAAATTATTCTATTATGTACTTATGTGTGTGTCAGAAAGAGCCCTATTCGTGTTTTACAAATTTATCGATTGGTGTTTCGTTGAAAATGAAATATAAACTAAAATTATTACTTAAAATAAAATTATTATTTATAACGTGATGTTTTATTTATTGAAATATACTTAGGGAAATATATTTAGAACGGACCTGATATTTAATCAAAAAACAGACGACATAGAAAAGATCTATCATTTTATCATATCATGTTTTAAAATATCTGTCATATTTTAAAATATCAATCAAAATCTAAAGTCCATGGTCTTCCACATTTACAAATGCGCTATACGTTATCATTAAAAAATTCAATCTATAATTTTAGAAATCAACGATCTCTCTAATAACTCAACAAATTCTTTAATTACATAAAAACTAGATCGTGCTCGCAACCGATTAGATCATATTATTTGTTATAGTATCCATAATTGTATCGTAGGAATGCAATTAGTAATTATATCACGAATAACAATGATTGCTCTGGTTCAGATTGCTACGTACCGAAACTCATCCTTGTCCCATCTATCCTTCTTTCACTTTAAAAAAAATTTATTCAATAAAAAAAAAAATGAAATTCCTTTTGATATGCGATTGCAAAATTCTGATCATTGTGCAAACGAACGGTAAAAGGAGTTTTAAGGAAAAACCGATGAAATGTAAATCAAAGCACAATTAAAATACAAACCAAAATTCAAATTGAAAATAATTATAATTAAGTTATAATATAACATTTTACATATTTAAAGAAAAAATAAAAATTGTTTCGCAATAACCGTATTATTCTATAGAATGTGCTAACATTGAATTTACAACCGTCTTACAATTAACTAAAACTAAGAGCACGCAAAGCTAAAACCACAACCTGCAGATCAAGGTTCGAGCATTTGGAGGCAAATAATCTAGCGCTACCCCCAACAACGCAGTGGGGTTCCGAAGAACCACTGAGTCGGATTATCAAAGACGCTAGAGTACAAGAATCTCACCTCGCCCTTTCGGACGAGGCTGCAGTTCCCCGATTCGACACACTGACTACGAAATTTAGAAATTCGACTTTAGTGCAACGAACAAAATAACAACAACGAAAGAAAAAAGAGAGTAGATGAGGGATTCCTAATTTCGTCCCAAGTTTAATAAACGTGTCTTTGTATAGAATGCGTTCACAATGAATTTAGAAAGATTGACTAAAATTAAACGTACGTAACTTAAAGCTAAGACGCACGCATCTCTGGTGCTCCGCTGGATCGATGTGCACTGACGAACAACAGGAGGAGAGAGACTACGAAGAGGATGACCCAGCGATAGACGCACCCCGACCGTCAAGGGCCTCCAAGCGTCTGCCGACACAGAAAGAGAGGTCAGAGCGCAGTCATCGAGTGCGCAATGACTGTGGAAAAAATAGCGGCTGCCTCGGGGATCCTCAAAGGTACCTACACGCGGTACCTGAAGGACGCAGCCGGGAAGGTGTGTGCTAACATCACAGAGATAGCTAAGAGAAAATGCGTGTCTGCAAATAAAAGCGCTCTCGAGGCAGAGAATCTGGTGCTCAAGGCGCATAAACAAAACTTTGAAAAAAGAGTCGAGAAATTAGAAAGTATGCTCGCCAGACAAAGCTACAATCCCGTCACCAAGACGACGAGCAGGAATCACGCAACTGGAAAAGATGCAGCCGGAAAAGACAGCAAGAGGATGCAGATATGCCTGGCCCCTCCGGAACCCACGGACCAAGCGCCTTCAACAAGAACCACGCGGTGCGGACCGGTTCTGCTGGCTAACACCGCGGCCCCTCCGCTGGAGGACCTGGTGAAAGCTTTGACGGAAGAGGTTGCGGCGCTCCGAAGGGAGGAGAGGAAAGGACCAACAACAACGGACGGAAAGCTCAATGAGAACGCGAAGACAGTGCGGCCGCGGCCTCTCGACAGAAAGGCGGTAAGTTCCAGTACCACCGACTCCAGTACCGCGACAACAGCGGGGAGCGGAAAAAGAGGACCGACCCGACAACGAGGCTGCAGGATG